TGTCTTAGTTAGCTTTAAATAAATTTTACTTATTCAAAAAAGAATCATTTAATCTTCTAAGAAATACACCATTTCATGTTCAGTAGTCTGCTTACAGAATTATCCAAAGAGCAAGACAATTTATATTGATTAATTATTAATCAAATAATCAACTTAGGAGTTCAGGTCTGAAACCTATATTTGGTAAAAGCCTTCAACACTTATGTTCAGGAAGCAAAATTTCTGTATTCATTACTAAATGCAGAAAGCAAAGGAAAAATGTATGTCGGTCCTATTACCACAAAAACATCACAATACACCTAAAAACTGAGAATCCCAGACTGCAGTACAGAGAAGACAGGAGCTGACTGCAATCCTGTCAAAGACAGGATTAAGAATCCATTTCCAATGTGTCTGTAGCTGTATCTGTGCAGGCAGTGACACCCTACAGCAGAGGCAGCCTGTAAAAGAGACCTCCTGGCCCTGTCAGCAAGCATTCAGGTAAGGGAAGGAAGAGAAGAAAAGGCTTGAAAAGTAGGGTCTCCCATGATTTGGTGCCCCTTAAAGGGCATGATTCAGAAAGTAAGGGAAACAGAAGTGAATTCCAGCTTGGAAAGTAAGTACATCCAATTAAATGGGACAATCCAACCTATCTTGAAGAGCAACAGGACCTAGCCATTAAAGCTAAACACATGTTGCTACAGGATGTTCCTCCTGCCCACGTGCACTCAGAGCTGCACCAGTCTCAGAGCTACTGCTGACACCAGTTGTATCCAAACCCACAGTTGCAAATTTGTGTACATTTTCCCAACACCTAAATGCCTAATCCCAAAGCCTAAAATGTTCTGAAACAAAACACACAGCGACTTAAACTATTAAAAAAATTAAAAAAAAACTCTACAGAAAACCCAACCCAAGCAACAAAATATGGTTGAAATTACCAAACACACTAAAAATCACTTATTTTAAGGTAAACACTCACACTCAACTCTAACATTTGGTATTACCACATAGAATGACTTACTCACTGCAACAAAATATTTTAAGATCTCTGCATGCTACATATATAGGAAAAAAAGCATAATTCTTTTTTCCCCCATAGGAACAAATCCTTATTCTACCAATGTATTTTTAAAATACCCTATTCTGAAGGCTTGTTTGCAAATAGAGCTACCATAGTTTAGAGTTCATTGAGAATTTTAGAGTAATTTAAGTAGTGTAAAAGTTGTGTAACTGTCAGTTTAGCTTGAATACATTTCCATTTACCTTAAATTAACCGAACAAATAAGAGCCAGGCTAACAATCCTATACTAACACATAGATTAAAGTACCCTGCATTTCATGGGGAGGTTAGGGTTTGCTTTGTAGGGGATGGTTTTGGTTGGGTGTTTTGTTCTATACATCAAAGACCTAACACTAAGTGTATTTCTGGTGCAAAAGATCTGCTTCTGTTGACAAAAAGTGTTCATCCAGTCTAACTCCTACTCCACCACAAGATTAATTCAAAAAAGTCAGTGAGCTTGTTTTGCATCACCGGCTGCCTGAGAGTTGTTTGAGAGCACTGCTCCTAACTTCAAGCCAGATGTCATCTGACATCCTACAAAGGCCATAAAGCTAATAAAAACTTTGTATCTTGTGCTCCAGCTAATTCAGCAGAAAGACAACCCAGTCAAGCCCGCACTACAAGGGTATCCCAGCACCATGCAGATCTGGTACACATCATGGTGGATCTGCAACAGCCTAGAAACAGCTATGCCAGTCAAAACCATTATTGCTCCAGCTGCTTGCTTCTTTCTGCCAAAAGTTCCTGACCCCACAGCTCTGCCAGCAGCACAGGCCAGGGGCACATTCCCTAACTCACTTCAGGCAAAAAGAAAAAAAAAAAAAATCAACCCTGTCAGTTTAGACAACTTAAGTAAAACTGGCAAGAGCTAACCCCGGTACATCTCACCAAGTGGACTAGAGTGCTCCTACAGTCCACTTGACCAGCAGAAAAGGGAAGCAGTAATCTACAGCTAATGGGCAGTAATAAGCAACTGCAGCCCATGGAGTCCCACAGCCTGTGCAGCCACACATCTGCATGAAGTGTGTCACACCAGTCAATTCCCCAGGGGCAACCTAAAGCCTTACAGCTCTAACTAACTATATATATATATATATATATACACACACAACTATCTACTGAACAAACTGGTAGTTGCTCCTATGTCTTTATGAGTCAAAAGTAAAAATTCTGTTTAACCTCAGACCTATGATTTTAAATAAAACAAATTAACTGGACAGTATGACAAAATACTGGCACATTTAAATTAATGGTTCTGCTTCAAGCCCTTGTTAGTAGTTTTACTTATTGTAGAAGAAATAACCACACTATTAGATGCTCTAATACTTAAATTGGATACAAGAGTTGAACACCTTCCCTGGATGTACTGTACTTTCCCATGCTATGCTTTTTGGCAAGCACCAGACAGAAAAATTAAGCAAGTTTTCTTCTTCTGCTTGAAGACACAACCAAAATTAGGAAATAATGCTTTGAAATAGCCCAAAGTCTTTGTTTTCAGTATCTGCAAAGCGAGTGGGGGAGGAGGGGAAGTAAAGAATATGCAGAATTAATAATTCACTTACATTCAGCACAAAAATTACTTGGACTAAAATAAATTTAAATGACGTGCTGCAATTACACAAATGAGATCTTACCCCAATACAACAGAATGAAGAGAAGCAGTAAGAAGACTGTTTACCTGCCTGACTCAACTTACTGCATGACCTTGTACAGACAAGACATTTCCAATTACAGTTATTGCAGCTGCAAAAACTTCTAAGCAAACACTTTCAATGGGGAAAACTGAAAGTGGATGTACCTCATATAATGTGAAAGGTGTGTATTCAGATTCAGAAAGTAAAACTGACACTGAGCAAAAATGTATTGAGGGAGTTTATATCACAAGAACACATAAGAATCTAAGAAGGATCAAAAAGGTGGCTCAAAATAAATGTTCGGTCAAGATCCAGCTTCTGTAAAGATATGCTATGAACACTCCTTGCTTCAAGCATTTAAATCAGTGAGGAAAAAAAACAACCACTATGATGCTACAGACAACAAAGTCAGCTAATCTAGGAAAACATTCTTATTTAAAATAACACATGCACAAGCCCATGAACTGCCAAAAAAAAAGTACTGAGATGTAAGATTCAATCATTCCAAGGCACATTTTTAATGAGAAGCCAATAACAGCTGAAGGCTGAGAAACAGTACTCTTCCTATTTCCTGAAGACAAGTTAAAATTAAAAAACTTTCAAAATCACTACTTAGTATTAACATCCTACATGAGGGAGCACTGGAATATTTGCAACTGTACCTTATATGTGTATAATGAGGACCTCCATTTTTTTTTGGACAGGACACATGACAAAAAACATTGAGCAGAAGGCATTTTCTAGAATCATTATCCTTCCATTTCCAACATGAGGCAGTTATTTGTGCCTTAATGGCAGACTTAACCATCAACATATCACGATCTCCAAATATAAAGGTAAAATAAACCAGAACCACTGAAGAAATTTATATAACCTTACGAGTTAGAGGCTATACCAGGCTGCCTAGCCAATCTCATTTTGAGAGACATGGAAGGATTCAAGAAAATCCAGGCCTTATGCAGCATTTCTTTCCATAACTGCTTTCAAGACTTTGTCCAAAAGTCAGGCCATCACTTATTAACATATGATCAAAGCTTCAGTTTTCATTATCTTCACGAGCAGGTTCTACGGTAATAAAGCATCTCAGAGCTGCAACTCCCTGCAGAGCCGAGAACGCGTCCCTGGGAGATTTCACAGGAGCATGGTTGTGCCGGGACAGCTTTGCGCGGGGGATGCCAACCCCGTCTCTCTGGCGGACAGGTAGGAAGCCTATTCCCGAACCCCGGTCACCCCACAACCACACAGGTGTGCCAGGCAGCACGCGGTCCCGGGGCTCTGAGCGCAGCGCCAGAAGCACCGCTGCGGACACAAAGCCCGAGCTCCGCTCCGCTCCCCCGCGCCCCCCGCTCTCCCCGCGGGGCGGGAGGGGCAGCTCCGGTCGGGGGGGCCGCGCGGCACGGAAGAGCGGGCGCCGCCGCACAGCCCGCCGGGAGTTGTAGTCCGCTCCCCGCCTCCCGCCGCGCGGGGCCGCGGCGCAGGGACTCCAGCTCCCGCCATGCGCCGCGGCCCCGTCCCCGCACAGCGCGGCTCTCCCGCACCGGCCCGGCGCGACCTGCGGCATTCACCCCTGCCCGCCTCCCCCCGCAGACGCAGCTCCACGGCTCGAGCACACCCTCCCAGCGGCAGTCCCAGCTCCCTCGCGGCCCGCCACGAGGGCCGGCCGCGGCCTCACCCCCTCGCCAGGCGGGTCGGGCAAACTGCGTCACACCCCCTGAGCGACCCCAGCCCTCCCCGGTGCGGCTCCCCCCACCCGTCCCCGCCCCCGCACGGTCAGCCCCCGCTCCCCGGGGGTTGCGCCGAGGGCCACCCCGCGGGGCCCCCCTAGCCAGGCGTACACACATCGCCCCCTCCGCGCCGGCCCCGCACCGGCGGGCCCGAGCCCTCCCCCGGCACCGGGAGCCCCGGCGGCGCGTTCGGCCGAATCTCGCGGGTCAGGGGCAACAGCAGCCGCCCCACGCCGGGTGGTTTTTCTGGCCGTGCGGGCGGCGCGGGTTGCGGGCGGCGGGCGCAGCTCCGGCGCTACTCACTGACAGCGGCGGCATCCGAGTGCATTTTCGAGCGGCGCTGCACACGCTGCCGGCCCGGCCCGGCTCCGCTCCTGCCCCGCTCCCGATCCAGAGCCCGGGACGGACGCCGTCGCCCCGCCCCCCGCCCGCGCCCATTGGTCCGCGTTGCCGGGAGAGGCCGCGCATCCCGCCCTCCTATTGGGCCAGGTTCCTGCCACTCTCCCCGGGCCCTCTGCGCACCGCCCTCCCTCCCTCCCATTGGGCTCCAGGCTGCGCTCACCCCGCCTCCCTCCACTCTGATTGGGCGCTGCCGCTGCCAGTTTTTCCCGGTCTTTAAAGCGCGTGCAAAGTGCACCACTTTGTGTCACCCGCGGCTCTGATTGGCTGCAGGGGCCAAGGGCCGCGCCCACGCCCTGACACGATTGGGTGAGCGGGTCAGGGGGCGGGCCCGGGGCGGGAGGGCCGGGCCGGGCTGGGCGGCTGCTCTGGCTGCTGATGCCGCTGCGGGATGCGCTCAGCACCCCCTGACTTAGAGGCATTTCCTGATTTCTCCCATCTCGCTCTTCCTAAGGAGAAAAAATGGCAGGCTGCCGATAGCAGCCGAACGCACATAAGCGTCACACTGCTCGAGCAGCAGCGGGGAGACCTGCGGCCAAAAGCTGCTCCGTGTGGGACGATGGGACTGGCTCGCTGCCCCGAGGTGCTGTTCCCGGTCCTACGAATCTAGCGCATGGAGCCACCCTCCTTTCCCCGCTCCTCGCACAAGGATCTCGCCGCTACGGAGCCGGAGGAGGAATATAGAAAGACGCCCTGCAGGTCATTACTGCTTAGCATGCGAGCTCAGCATCCTGCGTCTTTTCAGGGATAAACGCCGTCCCTGGCACTCGCTGAGAAGAGACTGCTAGAGCAGCATCTGTGCACAGTGGAGGATTATTAAGGCAGAACTTAGCCATGAAAAAAAAAACAAAACACCTTTCCTCTAAGAGGTTAAGTTAAAATAAAATCAAGGACTACAAAACTGCAGTAGTGTCAGGTTTAAGGTAATTGGCCCTTTGGAGCAGTGCATTAGCATGCAGTCCTGAATTTAGTGATCACAGGCCTTTTTGGTTGTTGGGGGAGGGGGGGTGTTGGGTTTGTGTTTGTTTTTTTTTTTTATGAGCTTTGTCTTATTCAGTGAACCAGTCAGAATGAACAAGTGCAGACAATTTATTTTGCTGAGCCACATCTTATGTTTTCAACTGTCTGTTTTACCGAGAAGAGAATGGAGTCCATAAGGAAATGAATCTTCTCTTTGAAAGCTATATACTAAAAACCACATCAGAGCGATAAAAGACACCCTTATCTGAAGTTCTTACTTGTTCACTAGCTCCTTAAAATGATTTCTGTAGAACTTCCTGCCTGTATCTCAATTACTTTCCAACTTGCACCATCTTTTCTTTATCTTAACAATTTTACACTACCACCTCTACAAAAATAATAAAGCAGTGGGAGCAAGGTTTCACTTCTTGGGTAGTTCTAACATCCCACATGCCAGACATTCACATCTATGCATGTCATCCCAAGCTCTTATACCCAATAGGGGCACCACTGAGTTGCAATTCATCTGATCTAATTCTGGATTCAGAGCAACAATCCCTTTAGGGATGCCCGTTTGTTCACATTGACCATAAAAAAGCACATAGGCTTCTAGTTCAGAATAAAAAATATTCAAAAAGAAATCTTCTTCCATGCCTTGCAGAGTTGTAAATTGATACAGATCTAAAGAAAAGTGGTACAGAAAAACCCTATTTGGTTGTGTCTGAAGGCAGAAAGGTTTGTATTTTTTCACCCATTTATTTTAGTCTAAAATGAAAAATACTACTTGGCTTTAAAGATATTTCCTTAGACTACAGCTTCTGTAACAACTTTTATTCTTAAATGTAAGGCAATTAGGTTTGCCAAGCAAAAATTCAATATATTTTTGAATACTTCAATACACAAGTATAATCTCTGATTCTTAAAAATTCGATCTGCAAAGAAACCCATAGGGAAACACAAAAGAGACTTTGTTTTCTGCTTCTGCCTGCTACAGGGGATGTATGCTTCAGCAGAAAAGGCTGCCCTGTGAGAACAAGGCCCATTTCAACATGCACCTTCATTCCAACCTCAAAGAGGTATAAATAATCCCCTTTGTTACCACTATGCGCATCCCCAGGCTGGCAGATGTTACAAAATCAGGCTGTATTTTCTTTCTGAAGCCTGAGTTTCCATTATGCGGAAATACTTCATTTTACAGAGAGCAGATCAATCAAGTCATGGCTGATCAAGCATTTTATTGGGTTGCTTGGCAAGGTTCTGGTACAGCAGGGGCTCCAGGAGTGGCTTCTGTGAGAAGCTGCCAGGAGCTTCCCCCATGCTCAACAGAGCCAGTGCCAGCCATCTCCAGGATGGACCCACCACTGGCCAAGACTGAGCCCATCAGCAATGGTAGTAATGTCTCTGGGATAATGTATTTAAGAAGGAAAAAAAAAAGAGTCACTGCATGGAAGTAATTACTATCAGAGAAGAGAGTAGTGATAATATGTGAGAGGAACAGCTCTGCAGGCACCAAGATGAGGGTAGAAGGAGGGGGAGGAGGTGCTTCAGGCACTGGAGCTAAGATTCCCCTGCAGCCCGTGGTGTAGGCCATGGTGAGGCAACTATGCCCCTTGCAGCCCACAGAGGACCACTGGGGTGGAGAGATCCACCTGCAGCCTGTGTAGGAGATCCATGCCAAAGTAGGTGGATGCATCCAAAGGAGGCCGTCACACCATGAGAAATCTGTGCTGGAACAAGGTCCTGGCAGAGACCTGTGGACTCGTGGAGAGAGGAGCCCACACTACAGCAGGTTTGCTGGCAGGACTTGTGACCCCATGGGGGACCCACACAGGAGCACCTCATTACTGAAGGACTGCACCCCGTGGAAGGCACCCATGGTCATGCAACTTGTGAAGAATTGCAGCCCGTGGGATGAACTCACACTGGAGAATTTCATGGAGGACTGTCTTTTCTGGGAAGGACTCCACGTTGGAGCAGGGAAAGGACTCCTTTGTCTGAGGAGGAAGCAGCAGCAGAAACATGCAATGGAGTAACCTCCACTCCCTGAGCTGCTGGGCGGGAGGGGGTAGAGAATCAGGAACAAAGCCCAGGAAGAAGGGAGGGGTAGAGGAAGGTGCTTTTATGATTTGTTTTATTTCTCATTATCCTGCTGTGATTTTGGTTGGTAATAAATTCAACTAATTTCCCCAAGTCAAGTCTGTCTTGCTCATGACAGTAATTGGTGAGTGATCTCTCCCTGTTCTTATCTTGACCCACAAGCCTTTTGTTATAATTTTTCTCCTCTTTCCAGTTGCAGAGGGGAGTGATAGAGCATGTTTAGTGGGTACCTGGCATCCAGCCAGGGTGGAACTACCACATGGACAGAGACAGTTTAAGCAGTTCCTAGCCCTCCTGGCATTCTTTCTTTTGTGACAGTGCAACCACTTGGACAGCTAGATACCAAGAGCAAGACTGTCCCCAGTGTCCCAAAAAAGCAAAAAATCCCAGAACAAGACAAGAAAACGCTGAACTCTTTTGTTTTTGTCCATTTTTTTGTTTTCCCAGTCAGCTGAATATCCTGATCTGGCTTACCACACATATGTGCATGTGCTTCCATCAATATACAGGAGATGAATAACAAACCACGAAGTGGAAAGTGGCAGTAAATGCCAGTTTACACACTGTTAGATCAAACTTAAAACTTCAAAAAAAATTTTTTTTGAGAGGACTGTCACTGTTCACTTTTTTATGTTTGCGTTGCTTTTTTAAATTGATAGCTAAAATGGCAACCACAATTCAAAAAACCCCACAAAACTACTGTAGACTGTGAAAAATACTGGCTAACAAGAGAAAGAGGAACCATTTACTTAGTTTTATCTTCTTCACTATCAGAAACATAATGTAGAAGCATCTTTGAGACTTTCCAAAAGGAAACTCTTTTCCTCTATTTCCAAAGGACATCAGACTCCAAAAGGCTAAAACCACTGCATTTCTCAAATATCTTTGTTCATCTTGATTGCTTTGCTTAGAAACAAACTTGAACGTTAATTTTAGGCACCAGAATGACAAGCCATCATGTGTTTTCAAAGTCAGAGGGGAAAGGGAATTGTACTGAAAATAAACACATTACCAAAGAAGAATCTGCTGAACATTAAGAAAGCAGATAATGCAGTAAGAAAACACAGTACAGGGCATTGTAAGAAAATAAACAAATTGTCTACAAGAAGCCCAACTATCACAGTCCTAAATCATTTGTGGATATGAAAAAGTAACTGATACCCAAGTCAACACAAACAGCTTTAAGTAATGCTTCTGAAAAGATTTTTCAGCCTCAGAGTTTCAATAAACACCTAAATTTGAGATATTCCTGCATGGTCTCAGCAGAGCAGTACTAATCAGGGAAAAAAGAGGACCTCAAGTGGCAGAAGGTGGCAGCTGCAGATTATTTGAACTGCTTTTCAAACCACTATTCACTAAACAGTTCAGGTCATTTTAATTGCAGTGTCCCATGGACTCATACCATGCTCCCCGTTGAAGTGAAAAGGTCTGTTCTCTTACACTTGCTCCTCAAACATACTACTCTGGCCCCAAATGTTCTTTTGTAGCACCCTGCAAACAAATGTCATTTTACGTAGATGAGGAAAAAAACATTTTAGGGCTGTCGATGGCCGATATTTAAAACCCTACATTTGATTTATAGGGTCTTTTTCAACTTCAGTTTGAAACTTTAACTTGTCTGCATTCATCATTAGGCAACTCTAAACAGCCAGGCTTAAAACAACAGCTTAGAATTTCAGCCTGAATTCTAGAGATGCATCAGAACAACCAGCACCTCTCTCTGAGCCAAAAAGCTCCCCCATAGTCAGCAGAGCACTCTGAACATTCACAGTGTTCTGTTTCTTGGAGACAGGTGGGAACTGGTTACCTGCACACTTAAGCTGCAACAACTTGTTACAGTAACATAACTCCAGTTCAAAACCAAAGGGTGTGTCTAACTTTCCCCCAGCTTGTAGCTGTGACAATGTTTTTGAAAATGGGAAATAATAATTTCAGGTGTTTCCTAGCCCAAGAATTTTGAAATGCAGCTCCCAGACTTCGGAGTGCTCTGTGGCAACACCAAAGCCACTGCTCCTCAAAGTAAGCTTACAATACACATAGAAATGCCTGAGCCAAGACCCTAAAGCAGGAATATATATATATATGTAAGAGAAAACTTGAGTCTTCACCCTGCTGAAGAATACAGTACAATTACTCTCAGAAATTACTCTTACACATGTTACCTAGAGTCCTTCTTTTTTATTCTGAGATACACACTGGTAGGCTCATGATGTACTGCTGTCTCTTTCTGTACATTCCTAGAAACTTAATTGACCTGCACAGAATGTCAAAGGATAAGATTAGGAGTACATATTGTTTATACAGATAAGAATACGTATTTATATACATAGAATACATATTATTTAGAAGTCAGATATATGTAATCTTGCAACTGGACGTGCCTATCTCGTATTGGCCTTTTCAGCCACCAACGCGCTTGCAACAAACGTGGGTAGAGCCCTTCCCAAATCTTCGTTCACAAAGCCCAGCCATGATATGTAATCTAGTCCTTTTACCACCAGAAAAAGTTCAAACTTATAGAAAATAATGTCTATTTTATACATTTGATCTTTTCATGCTATCTCTGAATGCATGAAGATATCCACTAAGTTTTTCTTTTGTAACATACTATCTTATGAAAGCTGAGATGAACGGAGTATGATTAGCAAACAGGAAGATTAGTAACACACCCCTGCAGCACAACCTGTTCTAGCACATTTCTTTCATAGTTTGAAACATAGTGATTGTTCATTAGAGACACACTGCACATTTTTCTAAACCAGTCAGATAACACCTATTAGGTCAGCATGCAGATTTATGGACAAATAAAGTTTAGTTTTAGCTTCCCAATTCTAATCACAGTAA